CCTCTCTCATCTTTTTAAGTGGGAGAACTTGCAGAATTGGTGGCTGACTAAATACTTTTTTGCCCCACTGTATATAGTCCACTACTTTCTCTCAAAACCTAATAAGTATAGGACATTGTAAAAACATCTCCAACAAAATGCTGTTTTTGACAGTCCTTTTCTATACAGACATAGAGGAGTCCAATAAATTCTAAATATTATTTTTTGTTGCATAAGTCGTATTTTAAGGTCCATTGATACTCTTGCTATAAAAGTTAAGACATTCTCCCATTGTCTAGGCAATGTAGAAATCTCTAATTCTTTATTCCACTCATCCCTTAACATCTGCATATCAAATTGATTTATTGATAACAAATATCTATACAAAGTAATAGTAGGGGTTTTTTTTTAGTTTTAAAGGATTTAACAACTTGTTCTAATATCTCTGGTGTCTCAAGCTGAAAATGCAGCTGGTCCAAACAATGTTGTTAACAAATGTTGTAGCTGTAAATATTACCATTGGGTTACATTTGATAGATAATATTTATCTCTTAAGACAGAGTACGTTAAAAATTTATCTTCATCATCTATCACTTGGTCCAAAGTCGATATCCCTGCTTCCATCCAATTTTTCAGTATCACCATCTTTTTCCCAATTTTTAAAGTTGGGAATTGGATCTGATAACTTGACACTATGAACGTACTCTGATTCATGGTTCTCCAAATCCCCAAACTAAATTCTTTTCTTTCAAACATAGATTGGAAGTTTGGTGAATGTTTGTTAACATTTTGAATTTCTACTTTTGTTAACATGTATTACATAATTATATATTATTATAGTGTTAATATCCTACTAATGTATATACCCATGAGTTGTGGAAGATTATGAACAAGTTTTAACAATCAGATGGGGGAAGAGAATCTAAATGTTTAATACCTGAGAGTGACAATATATGCTATCTCGTCCTTTTGTATGTGTTTCATTTGTGTTTGAAAAGAAATGTGAATAAAATATGTAATATAGCAACATTATTCTAAATTTTTTTATTTTAGGTGGTCAGAAAAGTACTTAGTGCTCTAATGCCACAGATATATGAGCATTAAATAAAAGTTGCCAGACAGTAATGGAAGCATGCCAACTGATTTAAAACTATAAGGGGAAGTTTCATTCTAGATAAAGAAGACATTCCATCAAGCACTACCAGTACTTAACATTCACTCCCTTTGAAGCGAAACTGAATGTTTATAAGACATGGAGTTGCTACCACTTGAAACCTCCTCTCACTTGCAGTATTTAACATAAAGAACACATAATGTGTCATTGTGTAATGTGTTTCCTTGTACACATCTGCTAAAGGGAAATGTATAGTGCAGTGATACTTGTTATATTTGCTGGTAGATGTTACAAGCAAGTGGTGGGAGAGGTCCAGCATAGCAACATCAGCTCTGAAAAACATTTTCCTTGGCCCTCATTTTGGAATGTTAAGTCAAGATCTATTTTTTTGACTCTGCTTCATTCAGCAAACAAGACACTTAAGTCTTTAGGCTACTTATCATTTATTTGTCTTATGCTGCTTTTGATCTATAGCAAGAGCTGAAGGTGCCTTACAATTATAATAAAACATTATAAAATGCCAATATTTCCTTTAAAAACAAAGAACCAAAAAGATCAGTAGGAAGATATTTTTAGATTTACAATTATATCAAGAAAGCCTCAGCAGCTAATTCACTTGAAGGCCACCTGAATTTCAGAATGAAAAGGTCATGATGATCTTCTGAGGCTTGAAAAAATTTCCTGCTGACAAAAGATATGGCACCACAGAAAAGCTTCCACTTTTCATAACAATCAAGGAAGTATAATTGCCTATCACATTCAAAACAGAATTTATAAAATGATGTAACCATGCCAGGAAGTGTACATTTATACAGAAAGAAGTATTTCCCAAGACCTCATGTATAGTAATGTGGAAACAGAATATTTATGGCTTTAAAGATTGAATGCAACTCCTTTAATTTCGCCAAGATTCTTACTGATAACCAATGAAACTCTTTCATTACAGATTTAACATGTTTCTTTTGACAAGCATCAAAGGTAGCCTTTCTAAGAACCATTTGAACATTGTAGCTAGTGATCTGATTATTCCTAAATTGAATGATATAAACTTCATAAAAGTATATGTATTAGGAGGGTTATTGACGAATTAGTAAACTTCTAACCACACTGCTATGTTTCCATCTAGAAATTCGAGCTCAGCTAATAGAACAACAGAAATGTCTGGAGCAGCAAACTGAGATGAGAGTGCAGCTTCTTCAAGACTTGCAAGATTTCTTTCGCAAAAAGGCAGAAATAGAAACGGAATATTCACGCAATCTAGAAAAGTTAGCTGAAAGGTTCATGGCAAAAACAAGAAGTACTAAAGATCATCAACAGTACAAGTAAGCCAAGGTTCCTTATATAATTGAAGGCTGAACTAATTATCAGAATTGCTGTCCAATCAACCATGGTTTTTCAGACTAGAATTGATCTTGTGTGCTGAGAGTGCTCAACCAATTTTTCTGAAGACATCCTAACTTTTTCAGAATATATATTTTCCATGAAATCTGAAGCATGGTCTAATGATGTCTTCTAAATTACAATGTGCAACAAGTAACCTTATTTTGTTCTTATAATCTGGTTATTAATGAGCCTTAAGTCAAAGTATTCCTCTCTAGACAAAACAAGGTATTATAGCAAAGAAACCAGAGTATGTGAAGGCACAATTTCCTAGAGAGAATAACCAGACATATAACTTGTTTCTAGCCCAGGTCAAGTTTCATCTAATTGATACTATGAATCTGAATAGGATTCATTTTTTTCATTTGAAAATGTTTTTCATTTGAGAGTTGTATGTTTCTTTAATTTCAGTGCTGTTTATTAAAATAGCAATATTTGTCCTTTTGTATTTTGATTTTTAATGTGCATAATCACTTTAGAATTTGGTGATTTCAACTCTTCCCCCTCCCTGAGAAATCTTGGAACATTCCTTACTATAGTATCCATTATTGATTTATTATCAATTTCAGTGTTAACACTTAGCAGCCATGTAGATAGATTTTTTCCAGGAAGTAGAAAACATTTTAGAGGTGGAGAAATGAAGCAGGTATTCTATGTTTGGAATTTGTCAGACACCCAATCACCAAAGTTTATGTCAAATACAGTGTCTTTGTGCTAGCTGTAAAACAACAATCTGGTACATAAGTTGAACAGCAAAATTTGAATTCGTTTTGCAATATTTATATAATTATGCAAGTTATGAAGACCTAATATGAAATAATCTTTTTCCTCCAGTCTTTAAAGAAAGTAGAACCACAAGACAATAATGCATCTGATTGTTTTCACCTTTTATGTGCCACCTAGAGAACAGCCTTCCCAGTTTTATGACTTGCTTCCCACAAGGGACCATGGGGATGTCCTGTCCCTGAATTATATCCTATGTTTCAAGCTACAGCTCTGAACTGTAAACACTAAAGCGTAACATCTGGACAGGGCCTTATTCACTATTGTTTGTTGACTTCCTGCATGGATATGAATGCTGTTGATAAAAGCAGATTTACAGTATAAATGAATATATCTTACCTTTTAAAAATGGCACATATTTATTTATTGCCTTATTTAAAAAATGATATGCAGTCAAATCTGAGAATATTATTTTCCACTGATTGCAAATCTATAGCCTTTAAAAAGGTTTAAACCCTCAACTATCCTTAAATATGCACTGGAAGGATTTACCGTGCTTTCATAATCCTGATTTTCAGCATTGAAAGGGTGCTTAATGAATGTTCAGGCATAATTCTCACATAAATACAACTCTGAAAATACTGGCTTTGTTAATGTATTTATGTAATTTAATGGTTGTGATCATTTTAATTAAAATAAATAAAACACAATGGTATATACCTGCAACATATACAAATAAAATATGTATGCTTACTAGGAAAGACCAGAATCTACTATCTCCAGTAAATTGTTGGTATTTACTTCTCAACCAAGTGAGAAGAGAAAGCAAAGACCATGCAACCCTGAGTGATATCTACCTGAACAACGTCATCATGCGTTTTATGCAGATAAGTGAAGATTCCACCAGAATGTTCAAGAAGGTATAACATTTTAATTTCTCTCATTTCCAATCAAATAGAACGATCTAAAAGACATAATTTTAAAATGAATACTCTGCAGGAGATTGGTAACTGACTTCATTATGACATTTTTTGCCGTAAATATAGAGGAGAGGTTTTTTTGGGTGAGAGTGACAAGAACATACTATTTTAAATACAGAAAAGCTAAATGTGACATGCTTCTCTGTTTATAGTCTTATCTTCAACAAAGGAGAGATAGTCTATAGATAACAAATCTAAGCCGATGTACAAGATAATTATATTATTTTTAAAATACTTGGAAGAAGTTACATTTTCAGTGAAGAAAAAAAACCTGTGCTATCATCTTGCTAAAAACTCTGCTGCAGTTTATTGTCCAAATACAAACAATTGCAATGAACTCTGTAAATTCTGTTTAGGTGGCTCTTGAGGATAAAACAAAGGAGATTACTGAATCACATCGGGGGATGAGTTTGTCTAAATTAGAAACCTGATGGTGATCTGGAAATCTGTATTCTATACTATAATTCTAGCAAAGTGAACTGTAGATTTGTATAGCTAATATTCTTCACATCTTTCCTTAGATGAAACTTCACTCACCAGATCACATTCTTCTGTACCTTCCATTGTTGACAAATCTATCAGCTTTTATAATATTTTGTGTTCACTTCCAGCTAAGGAAGCATTTTGAGATGATGGCATGCCCATAAGTCTTTTAATCAGAGCCTACTTTTTAAACATACTTTTTGCTTTTTGTTTTTATATAATGCATGGAAGAATAAGCACTGATTGAGCATTTTGACAGAGCTTTGTAGCCTCTGTCTAGTTGTCATAGAAATTATCTTTAAAAATCTGTGGTACTTTCTTTTCAATCATGTACCACTTACTTTGGGTATGTTTAGCCTATGGAAGAGACAGCTAAGGGGAGATACGGTAGAAGTCTTCAAATATCTGTAGGGTTGTAACACAGAGGAAGTGGACTTATTCTGTATATCCAGAGGGCAGGAACAGATTAAAGCTAGAGAGTGTAGGTTCAGTAGGAGAAATTTCCTGATTATACGAACTTTCAGCCAGTGGAACCAGTTGTCACATGAAGCGGTGGGATCTCCTACACTGGAAGTCACTGGAAGCTGGATGGTCATCTGCTAGAGATCTGTAATGGATCCTGACTGAGAAGGTGGTTGGACCAGATGACCTCTAAGGACTTTTTCAACTTTATGATTTGATATTAAGTAATTAAAGTCAAACTTATATAGCCTGGGCTGTCTTTCCTTGTCAGAGACTTCAGATAGTTACTAGCAACTTTTAGATACCCATCCAGGGCAAAGTTATAACAAATACAGATTTTGGGTGGCAGTTGTATCTATATTTATTTGGGAGCAAGCATCATTGTACTCAGTGGAATTTAGTTTTAGTAAACATGTTCTAAATAAAATTGAAATGTCATTTTGATAATAGCTTTTGGTATACACTTAATATTGCTTATTTTCCTGTTAAGAAATCTAATGTTGCTTGGTGAGGGGGAAAAAAGAGCTATATAAGCCCTCCACATTTAATTTAATTAGAGTATCTTCTCTCTTCAATTAAGATGTTTACCCCAATTGCTCTATTAATTCTGTGCCAGTAATAAACATTTCTCTTTTACAACTCACATGCACACAATTAATTTGATTAAATCTGTCTCTGCTATCTGATTAGGATCAGGGAAAGACACAGTTCTTCAATTTGCAGTCTACTAGAAGAGCTGTGAGGCTATAGTGGCTATAGGATCCAATTAACTGGAAGTGCTGGCATTTGCTTTTCAGCATAAATGTCAAGTAGATATTCGTAAAAGCTTTTAGATCATTTCAAAGGTCACTTGTTTTTTTAAACTGTGTTTTCCCCTTGGGTTATTAGATAGAATAGAATAGAAAACTTCAGAGAGACATGAACATAAATGTGGCTCTTCACTCTAAATACAGTATAGAAATATGTGGGTTTCAAAATCTGTGATTATACTAAAAAAGTGTAGCTCCTGGATCCAAGAAACTTTTCCTTGAAGATTGGAGTTTATTTGCCAAAAAAAAAAAGGGAAGAAGGAGGAAGAGGAGGAACAGATTTCCTCTGGGTGACCACAAGCAATAATTAGTGAAGTAAAACCCATTGTAGATGCATGTTGACTGGACTTAGCCCTGCATCTACCCACCCCCACCAAGGGAGCAGGCAAAGTCCCCAAATTATATTTATAAGCATTTCATTTCAACAAATCATCATCTTTTAGACTAAGAAAATCTCCAGGTTATCTTCCAATTCTATGATTATTTAAAGTTCTATTTACTGTAGCAATTCACTTAAAACATTTTTCTCTGTATTTGAAGCAATTATACCAGTCATTTTTTTCTGCAAATCCATGGCTGTTTTTAATAGATACTTCAAACATTGTACAGCATTGTTCTTTTCCATTCTATTGGGCTTCTGTTAGGTAAATAAACATTTTAGCTATTCAAGGACTAGTTCAGAAAGTAAACAGCATTGCCAGTTTAAGGTGTCCAGAAATTTTGAGGAAGAGATTTCATGAAGGATATAAGAAGCGTGGAGAGCAAAATGGTATTGTCAGGGAGAAAAAAAGCAGGATGGTAGAAAGAATTAACAACACAGGAACAGATGAGAAAATAATGTGATTTGATTTCATATCTAAGCCGAAATGCAAAGTGATCTATTTCCATATCTATGGTAATGGTTAGCATCAGTCATGGATAGTTTTATTGTCAAATGAAGCAAAAATACTGTGAACTCTTGGAAAATGAATTAGATTATAAGGGTATATGTACACAACCCCCTCCCCACCAAAAAACCACCCCTGGATATTCCCCGTGATATCACTGTGTTACCAAACATACCATTTGTGACTCCTTTAGAAATTATTTTTAAAACCTCTTTAAAAAGTTGCCTTCTCTTCTTTAGTCGTTAAGTCGTGTCCGACTCTTCGTGACCCCATGAACCATATTGCGCCAG